TAGTTCTCCTGCAGACGGTGTGCTCTTAATGATTTTATCAAGAGGTCTTTGTGTCTTCACCCTGTTTTGCGAACTCAGCTTGCTGCTTCCAGAGGCCCTCTGTTGGCGCCCTTGTCTGTGCTGCTGTCGGCTAGCAGATCGCGCCCCCTCCCAACACTGGGTCAGGTGCTGAGCTCTTACCTGGTGGGCGGGCGGCGCCCCCTCCCAGCACCGTGGTCAGGTGCTGCGTTCCTGCTAGGAAGGCAGGTGGCCGCCCGCCCTCTCCTGGCGCTCTATGCAGCTGCCTGCTCTGCCTTGGGTTGGCGCTCCGAAGGCAGGCTCAGGGAAGACCACGGAATGGCCCCGTCCCTGCTCCGTGCCAAATCTCAGCTCCTCGTTTGTCTTGGCGGTGCGAGTTCTCTGAGGTGCCAGGGCAGAAAGATCTTATCTGCCTTGGGCTGTAAACAAGTCTCAGTCCTGCCTAGGAGGTTGCGGAGCTCCTGGGTGCAGTCTATCCTTTTTCTTTTAACCTATTTGTGTTCTTGTATTGAAAGTGCATTTCTGATAGGTGTGCTGGAGATTACTAAAATCACCCAAGGTTCAATGATTGCTAGGAGGGCTTGTGGGACTCAGCATATAGTTGTACTTATGACTTTGGTTCTTAAAGCAAACAGGATACAAAAAAAAAGAAAAAGCAAAAGCGGCTTTCTCCTCTCTGGGAGTGTGTCCTACAAATTCTAGCTACCTTGGTCTCTCTGGACTCTAGGCTCCTTCTAAACTCAGGGAGTCTGCCAGTGACCACTACTTGGGTTTCCCCTCCTACTCCATGGCTTGGATTCTCTCTCAAGACAGGAGGCTGGGCAATCATAGAGCCACCTTACCTGTTTTCTATCTTTCAGGAATCACACACACAGTTCTTTGTTGATTGATGTCCATTGTCTTGAAAATCGTTTCATTTATTTTGTCTACTTTTTGTTTCAGCCAGGAGAGTAAATCTGCTTCTTACTTCATCTTTGTTGGAAGCAGAAGTGTAACTTGTTTAATTTTGAATTAACAGAATTATGTGTTTATAAAAAATAAATGTTATACAGATTATTTTGTGAATGTCAAGAGACTTTTCACCTATTTCCCAGTGTATTATTCTGACTGAAGATTGTTGATAGTAACAAATAGAAAAACATTTTGAAAAAGAACAAAAATTAGAAATGTGATAATGTATAATGCAGTTTACTCTGCAGTATTCAAATGTGGTTTAACTGTAACTTTTTGGATTTTCAACAGCAAGTACCTAATCCTTCTACCACTTAAGAAAGATTTTTTTAAATTAATAAACTTTTTTAGAGCAGTTTTAGGTCTGCAATAAAATTGAACCGAGTAAGAGAGTTCCCAAATAACCCTTTTCCCCCAAATCCCCTAGTATTAACATCCTGCACCACAGTGGTTAGTTTTTAGAATTGATGACCCTGTGTTGACACATCATTATTATTCAAAGTTCATAGTTATGTTGGGGTTCACTCTTGGTGGTGTATACTCTTGGTGGGTTTGGGCAAATATATGATAACATGCATACACCTGTTATAGTATCTTACAAAATTGTTTCACTCTGTACTCTACCTATTCACCCCTCCCTCCCCCCAAACCCTGGCAACCTCTACCTAGTCTTTTTACTGTCTCCATAGTTTTGCCTTTTTCAGAATGTCATATAGTTGGAATCATATAGTATGTTGCCTTTTCAGATTGGCTTCTTTCACTTAGTAACATGCTCTTAAGTTTTCTCCATGCCTTTTCATGGCTTGATAGCGCATATCTTTTTAGTGATGAATAATAATATTCCATTGTCCTGATGAACCACAGTTTATTCACTTGCCTACTGAAGGACACCTTGGTTGCTTCCAAGTTTTGGCAGTTATGAATATAGCTGCTGGTGGACCTTCTGCCATTTAAAATATATGGTTAGTAGATAGACAACAAGGCCTTACTCTTTTTTTTTCTTGTATATATATATATATTTTTTTTTTTAATTAAAGTATAGTCAGTTTACAATGTTGTGTCAATTTCTGGTAAAAACCTACTCTTTAGTACAGGTAACTGTATTCAATATCTATACTAAAAAATATAAATTAAAAAAGAAAAATATATATAGTTAGGAAATGAGACTAGGTAAAATCTCAAGTTATTTTTAGTTTTTAAAAACTAATGTTATAAGAGAGGTTCATGTTAAAGGAAATGATAGCATTAGATTTGTTAAGTTGGCTTTTAAAAACTAGAAATTTGAACTCAATCTCTGAAAATAAGATGAGATTCTTTAATTTTAGCAGATTTCTGGGTCACTTTTCTCAGCTTTAAAATTGTAGATTAATATCCTTTTAAAATAAGTAATCTGCATATATTTAATACATTCTTAAAAATTACATTGCATGATTAATTTTGAACATAAACTTTTTTTTGATTATTACATACTGGTAAAAAAACATGGGCTCTGGAGCCACAGGGACTGTGTTCAGATCTTGTTTCTGACGCTTACATGACATTGAGCAAGTGGCTCAACCTCTCTAAGCCTTTGTTTCCTCAAATAAAGTAGGCATATAAATAGCTCTTAGGATTGGGGTAAAAATTAAATAGGAATGCATGTAAAATGGCATTGAACATAGAAAACAGTCAGTAAATGATAGCTGTTGTGTTTGTTCTAAACTGTAGTATATGAGTTCATGATATTTTTAGCTCCTTTGAATGCAGTAAGTTATATTCTTAATGGCAGAGTTTGAAATACTTAGTGAGTTAGAAAAAACTAAAACTTTTTTTATTCCCATGTGTAAAAGTAGTTTCTGTTGTGGTTAATTTATTTTCATAAGAAGCCTGAAAATGATGACATGAGGCTAACTGAATAGAGTGGGAGTAGTTGAGAATCTTTTTTTCATTTATATTGTCACTTCCTCAGCTGTCTTCACGTGCTATACTGTCTCCTGAGGAAATCTCATCCACTGCCATGACTTCAGCTGGCAGACGAATCTTACGCATCCACCGGCTTGCTTGACACGTCCATTTGGTTGTATTACAGACTTAAAGCTCAGTACCCCTAAACTGAATTCGTGACCTTCCCTTTCATACTGTTACTTCTCCTATTGGTGTTCATCATCTCAATACATAGCATAGCCGTACATCCCCTTCATCAAGCCAGATTCCTCCTTCTCTCTGATCCCCTTATGACTAGTTATTTGCTGGGTCCTGTTGATTCTAACTGCTAAATATGTCTGAAATCTTTCCACCTTTCTCATCCCCTTCTGCTGTCAGCACATCTATCACCTGGCTAAACACTTCTACCCTCTAACAGGTTTCTTCACATCTCCCCTTGTTTCCTTTGAATTCTTTGTACACAGTATAGTGACTATGATGTCACTCCTGTCTGAAAAATCATTCTATGTCTTCACTTTGCTTTTAGGATAAGCTGTAAAAGCCTTAACATGCTCTTCATCATCCTGTGTGATTAAGCCCTTGCCAATTTCTTTAGCTGTCTGCATCTACCTTCCTCTTCCATCTCTGTTTCTTCCATTCTGGTCTCATTTCATTCCTCAAAAATCTTATTTCTTTTTTTGCCTCTTGCTGTCCACTCAGTTTCTGTCTAATTCTTGCTCGTGTATTGGATTGTATCTTAAACTTTTCCTCTTCTGGAAAGCCTTCCCTGTCCTCCTCCCCCTTTTTCCTGCATCAGTTCTCCTGCCTGGATTATGTCTCTCCCTCACATCTAGAACTCTGTGTCATTTCCAGCACTCATCCTGTTTATGATTATTTGACCACTATCTCCTCCCCAAGATTATACACACCAGAAGATTAAAGATTGTGTTCATTTTGTCTCTGTGTCTCTGGTGCCTAGCACCATGCCAGACTCAGGTGTGTTGTAAATATTTGTTGAATGAATGAATTTGGGTATTTAGAAAGTTTAAGTTGTATCTGTAATTACCTGTAGTAATTGTATTGTCACCTTTTTTTGGTTAACTCCCTCTATTCCTTACAACTATTACTTAAAATTTTTTTAAAAATAATGAGCTTATTTTAGGATTAAAAACTACCATTTAGAAAAAACTACCATTTGCCAGGCATCATGTTGGTTGCTTGAAGTAAAGTACTTCATTTGGTTCTTACGATCAATGTAGACTAGTAATTCTGACCATTTTACAATTGAGATAATCTCTGGGTAGATACTTGCTAATGTCAAGTGGCTGAAAAGTGGCAGATATGTGGATTCACGCTGAGGTCTTTCTACTCTAGAACCTGTGTTCTTTGGTTGTAATTATACTACCTTCTCCAATTTAATGTCCACAGCAAGTAATTAATATATACATTGTAAGAAATTTCTTATGATTAGCTACAATTTAAGATTTTACATTTATCTGATTGACTCTAATACTTTAACAGTGCTTTGCTCGTCTGGCATACAGTATATTTGTAATTGTTGATAATAAAGGTGAAGTTTATACTAGAATAAATTTAAAATTCAGGGTGGAAATTGCAACATAGTGTCAAAGGAAATAATTGTAGAGGTATGCTATGTTCTGTAGTATTAGACTCTAAAAAAGTGATTCTTTTCATAATTTTCAGGGACTATTTTTGCATATGGACAAACTGGAACAGGCAAAACGTTTACCATGGAAGGTGTTCGAGCTGTTCCTGAACTTAGAGGAATCATTCCAAATTCATTTGCTCACATATTTGGTCATATTGCAAAAGCAGAGGGTGATACAAGGTAAAAGAGAATTCTTTTATTTTCTAATATGAGAAGTACAAACATAAGAAAGATGTAAAGGTACAAATTTTATAAACACATTTAAAAACTGTTCTTACAAATACTTTACTGTTTTTAATATTTAAAAAATCATGTTTTATTTACAGATTTTTGGTTCGAGTGTCTTATTTGGAAATATATAACGAAGAAGTTCGTGACCTTTTGGGCAAGGATCAGACACAGAGGTTAGAGGTAAGGATAATTGAAACTGGAGTACTTTCCAAAACAATAGAATGTGTACAAAATTAAGGTCTTTTTTGTACGGAAGGTACTTTTAGTGTTTTACTTATTTTTTGGCCCGGTAATATGATGACACAGTTCAAAAAAAAATATTTTTAACATTTATGCATTGAAAAGTCTTTTTCCTACTTTATTTGCCCCATTTCTCACCACCCTAAGATAACTACTTTCAGTATCCTTTCAGTGTTCTTTATGTAAATACAAGCAAATATAATTTTATTTTACTGCAAAGTAGCATACTGTATGCATTGATTTTTTAAGTAATATTTTTAAATTAAAATTTTTATTGAGATAAATGTAAATTCACATGCAGTTGAATAATACAGAGAGATTAATTACTCTTTACATGGTTTTCCCCAGTGGTAACGTTTTACAAAGCTGTAATGTGGTATTACAGCCTTTGTATTGATACAATTCACAGATCTTACTCAAATGTGCTCAGTTTGTCTTGTACTAGTTTATGTTGTATACTGTTTTATCACATGTGTAGATTGATAAATCCACTACCACATCAAGTACTAAACAGTTCCACCTCAAAGATGCCTCATGTTGCTCTTTTATAACCACATCCACCTTTCTTGTGACCACGCCCCTCTGTACCCATCTCTAACCCCTGACAATGTGTAATCTCCTTTCCGGTTATACAGTTTTGACGTTTCAAAAATATAATATAAATATAATCATAAAATATGTAACCTTTTGGAATTGACTATTTTCCACTTGGCGTAATTCCCCAGAGATCCATCTGAGTTACTGCATGTATCAGTAGTTCATTCTTTTTTATTACTGAGTAGCATTGCATGGTATATATACATACCATAGTTCATTTAATCGTTTCCCTGTTGGAGGACATCTAGGCTATTTATAGTTTGGGGCTATTGTAAATAAAGCAACTAGGAACATTCAAACACAGATTTTTTTTATGTCAAAATAACTTTTTATTCTCTGGTATGAATGCCCAAGAGTACTCCAAAATTGAAGTCAGAAGTTTTTGAAGTGTCAAAAATAAAGGTATTAAGACTAATCATGAATGTCATCACAAATACTTGTGTTTTCTATCTTTCTTTTTCCTGAAGGAAAAACTAAACTTTCTGATTGAGAAACTCTAGTTTGAGTACTTTTGGGTAGTAGGTTCTCACCAAAGACTGCTTTCATCCGGCATCTTAGAAAAGGGAGGTGTGAAATTATATGCATAAATATCTGATAATCACAAAATTTGTCAATTGGTACGTTATGCTTTTAACTGACAAATGTGGCTGATTCATATTCATTATATTGTTAGGTTGAGATATAATTCATCCTTTTAAACTGTAAAGTTTACTGATTTTTAGAATAGTCACAAAGTTATGCAACCATTCTAATGTTCTAATTCTAGACATTTTCATTACTCCAGAAAGAAACCCCATGCCCTTTAGAAGTCGCTCCCCATTCCCCCTCCCCCCTGCCTCCTGGTAACCAGTAATTTACTTTCTGTCTCTCTGGATTTGCCTATTCTGGACATTTCATCTTAAGTGGAATCATACAGTTGTGTTGTTTTATGTCTGGCTTCTTTCAGTTAGTGTAATGTTTTCAAGGTTCATCCAGGTTGTAGCATGAATCAGCGTTTCTTTTCTTTCTTTTTTTTTAGCAGTTTTATTGAGATATAATTTACATACCATACAAATTACCCATTTAAAGTATACAGTTGGATGTCTTTTGACATATTCATGCAGTTGTGGATCTGTCACCACAACCAATTTTAGAGCACTTTCATACCCCAAAGAGAAACCCTATACCACTTAGCTGTCACCTTCCAACCCCACCCCTCAATTTTCCCAGTTTTAGGTAGTTACTAACCTTTTTTTTGGTCTCTACAGATTTGCTTATTTTGGTTGTATCTTAAAGGAATAATACAATGTGTGGCCCTTTTTCGAATAGCTTCTTTCACTTAGCATAATTTTTCGTGGTTCATCCATGTTGTAGTATATACTGTTCCTTTTTTTTTTTTGCTGAATGACAGTGCATTTTAGGGATATACCACATTTTATTGGTTCTTTCATCAGTTGAACATTTGAGTTGTTTCTACTTTTTGTCTGTTATGAATAATACTGTTATGAACATTCCTTGTACAAGTTTTTATGTGAATACAGGCATACCTCTTTCTATTATGCTTCACTTTATTGCGCTTTGTGGATATTGTGGTTTTTGTTTTTTTTTAACAAATTGAAGGTTTGTGGCAATCATGCATTGAACAGATCTGTCCAGTACCATTTTTCCAGCAGCATTTTCTTTTCTTTTTTTTTTTTAAATTTATTTATGTTTTTAATTGCGGTACTGAGGACTGAACCCAGGCTCTTGGTGCATGCTAAACATGCACTCTACCACTGAGCTATACCCTCCCCCTCCAGCAGCATTTTCTTACTTCATGTCTCTGTGTCACATTTGGGTAATTCTTGGAATATTTTGAACTCTCAGCCAGCAAAAAAGATGATGACTTTTTGAAGGCTCAGATGATGGTTAACGCTTTTTAGCAATGCTAAAGTTTTTTTTTAAGTATTTTTAAATTAAGGTACAGACATTATTTCTTTTAGACATAATGCTTTTGCACACTTAATAGACTACAGCATAGTGTAGTGTAAATGTAACTTTTATAAGCACTGAGAAACCAAAAAATTTGTGTCACTCACTTTATTGTGGTGGTCTGGAACTGAACCTGCAATGTCTTCAAACTCTTTTTTTCAGTTCTCTTGGTTATACATCAATGAATGCAATTGTTAGATAATGTGGTAACTAATTTTGACCATTTGAGGAACTGCTAGACTGTTTTCACAGTGGCTGTGCCATTTTACATCCCCATCAGCAATATATGAAGTATCCAATTTCACTGCATCCTCCTCAACGCTTGTATTGTCTGTCTTTTATTATAGCCATTTTAGTGGGCTTGATTTCCATTGCCCTAGTGGCTAATGATGTTGAACATCTTTTCATGCCATTTGTTTATCTTCTTGGGAGAAATTTCTGTTCAGATCCATTGCTCATATTTAATTAGGTCTTTCTCTTTTGGTTACTGAGTTGTAATAATTCTCTGTATACTGCAGATACAAGTTTGTTAACAGAGATATGATTTCCAGAAGATTTTTCGCATCTATGCGTTGTCTTTTCACTTTCTTGATGATATCCTTTGAACCATAAAAGTTTAAAATTTTGATCATGTCTAATTTATTTATGTTTAGGTTTATTGCTTGCACTTAGGTGTTATATCTAAGAAATCATTGCTTCATCTAAGGCCACAAAGATTTATGCCTTTGTTTTCTTCTAAGAGGTTTTTTATTATAGTTTTAGCTCTTATATTTGGGTCATTCATTGTGAGTTAATTTTTTGTATATCTTGTGAGGTAGAGGACCAACTTCATTCTTTTGCATATGGATACCCAGTTGTCTTGACACCATTTATTGAAAAGACTATTTTCCTCCCATTGTACTTTGCTTTTTTTCACTGAACAATGGTTTGTGGCAATCTTTCCATATCAGTATGGAGAAAGTGTCCTCATTCTTTTTTTTTTTTGTCCTTTTTTAAAGTTGCATAGTATCCTTTGTATAGACGTAATTTTAATTTATTTAGCCAACCTTCTGTTGATGAACACTTGGGTTGTTTCAGATCTTTTGCTGTCACAAACAGTTATGTACTAAATAGCCTTGTACATTTGACATTTCATATGTGTGCAAGCATATTTGAGGATAAATTTCTGAAGCAGGTTTAATGAGTCAAGTGGTAAATGATTGGTAATTATTGCCAAATATGTTAATATTTTAGTGTATGAGGCAAACAGAAATAAAAGATTAGTCTTTAAAAATTAATATTGGAATTTTGATTGGAATTGCATTTTCCGTAAAATAATTAGAGAACAATGTATGTAGAATAACAGTAGGATAGAATATAGAATAATAGTAGCCACCATGGTAGAATGATGTAGAATACACTTAGAATAACAGCAGCTGCTGTTACTGTGTTTTTATGATATGGTAGTGGGCATTCAGTACAGTAAATTGTGGTAGTAGTACATGCTTTATTTCATTTACTCCTCCAAACAGTTCATTTTGTGCATATGAAAACTGAAAACTAGAGGGTTTTCCTGACTTGCTTATGTGGCTGGTGAATGGATTAAGGATCAAAAGATTGGTTTCTGAGATTCTATCATCTTAGCTTAAATTCTGGCTCTGATCTCTTGAGCAGGTTACTTAATCTCTATGAGCCTTAATGTTGCTGCATGAAAATGGGAATAATAATAATAATAGTATTTACCTTATAGGATTGTTGCCAACATTAACAAATAAGTACAAAAAGTTAAAATCAATGTTTGGCACATAATAAACTATTAACTAAATGTTTGCTGTTTTTTTATTTCTTTTGAAGTTTATGATATAAACTGAGCTTTTGGAGCAGTATATTACAGGCTTAGGGATTATTTGTGTTTGTTGGACCTTAGTAAAGACTTATTCTGTAATGATAATGTGTAGGTAACAATTGTAGAGATAAGTTTCTTTTTTGATAGTTGTCATCCTTAGTTTTGATGGATACTTTAATTCTATGCTTTTTACCTTTTAAAAGTTATCGTTTTATTGCACAGATTATTCGAATAAAAATTATTTGGAAAGATCATTTCTGTTTTTGTACAAGTAATTAGATCAGATTTATTCTCCGGAAGTCTTATCAATGGTTCTGAACCAAATTAGACCCAATGCCACTTCTTTCAACATATATTTTGTAATGCCCCTTTGACTATCCTGAAATAAAATTCATAGATGATAAAAGTCTATCTACACACAGAATTTTAAAAATATCAATATAGTGCCCAATTATAAAAGAGAATAAAAGTACTTAAAAAATAAAATGCTAGTATTTCAGTATATAAATGCTTAGATGTGACCTCACTCAACAACATAATGAAGTAATCAGAAGCATATATAATCATTATGACTGTAACAGCTGCAAATGCAGACTTGCTTGTATGCTATATTGGTGATCTAAACACCTTAGTTGTTACTTTCAATTACATGGTCTTTTAAAATAGTAGTTAGCCCTTACTAGAGTTTTGAGCAAAATGAAGTAGTTCTTTCCTCAGTTTTCCTGTGTTCCTGTGGAAAAGCACTTTGTCTTTATATATGAAATAGAGTTAGGATCTAGATTCAGGGAATTGTAAATTGTTTTTTCATCCATGAGTATCTGACATCCAGCACTGTATGGTGCAGTTCATTGAAATCATTCCACCAATTTCAGGGTGTTTAGTATCCCAGGCCCCTACCTATGAATACTAATAGTGTCCTTAACTGAACCAGAAACTGCCCCCAAAATTTCTAAAACATTCTGGGCAAGGGAGTAACTGCCCCCATTGAGATCCATTGTTTTGGTTTTATCAACTATTTGTTACATAAATTAAATTCTGGTGTTTTTAAGGAAAAAATTCTTTGATAGCGTCACTACTCAGTTTTTTAAGGTTTCACAAACAAATAATAATAGACAGTAATATATGTCACTCACTCATATTTACATGCCTGACTTCTAGATGAACTTGCCATCTCTGAATCAGACTCATTACCAGATTTACTCTTTGAGTTTCCAGCTGTACCTAGACCATAGTTAAGTTACCAGGACCCTCTAACAAATGTGAAGACCAGGGCCCTCTAATGAGGGTAAATACCAGGGGTGTCTCTGAGAATGATTAATTCTTTCATTTCTTTTCTCTCCTTTCAGTGGGGTCTCCTCCCAAACCAGGGCCAGCATCCCCTAAGGAGGATCAAAATCAAGGAGAGAAAGCAGGATTCAAACTCATGTACTGAGACACTCACACATACACCCAAGATAAAAGCCAAACCAATTCTGGAAGACTCACTTTGATACAATAGTATAAAAGCATATACATACGGAATTTTATGCCATTTTCTTTCCCTTTGGCAAAACAGTTCTAGTTGAGTATGTGTTAGAGTCTTAAGAGCCACTGAGCGGCCATCATTCCTCAGAGTCTCAGGAATATTGGGACTATGTGGTGTTACAGTAAAATATCATTTTCTTTCTTTTCATGGGAGCATAGGTGAAGATCTCCCAGTTTTTGCAAAATATACCCTGGGGGACAAAAAGATTGAACAGAGCTCTCATTAACCATTATTCTTTCACGTGGCAGGCATTACCGACAGGTAGATCAGTATCTGGCATCGTCTCAGGATTGCAGTTCCCTAGCACAAGAATGGAATGTTTCCTACCTGCCATTCCAGACAGCGTTGCTGATGAGCCTTGGTCTAATGGGGAATTACTTGGTGCTGGATGGCCTAGGGACTTCTCCACCCAGAAGGGAAAGTCCAATTAAAGCGGCACTCTGTTCAAAACCATATGACCGAGTCCTACTCATTCCCCCTGCAAAAAGTAAAATTCCAGTCAAGGCAACCCAGTGAGAGAGGAATGCCTTGGTGTCATCATATGCAAGGTTCCACCACTTAACCAGAGATGCCTTACAGACCAGGACCAGAACTGTGTTTCCTTTACCACAGAATCAAAAGCACCATGGGCCATAATGCCCGCTTAGTGGCAAGTGCTCAGGGCTGTCCCTGAGACAGAAGTGTTCAAGGAGATGCTGGACAAGTGGATTTTGTATTTCTTTCTGTATTTTACAGATAGTTTCAAAATACTGTCTGTATTTTAGATAAGTCTATCCTAAATACATCCTTCAAACTTGGTGAAACTTCTCATAAAGTTACTTACAGAAAGGTAGTTTTTACATGGATGCCATAGATCTGATTATTTCACTGTGTGAAATTCTCCAGTGGCTTCAAATTGCTGTTACAATAAAGACCAATAACTATGCTTAATCTTATCTCCACCTCCCTCTATAGCTAGATAACCCACCTGTTTCCCCCTTTGCTTTCTACTCTTTCCCTGGCTTTTGTTTTTTGGTTGTTTTTTAATTTTTAAAGAACCTAGTTTCTACACCCCCCCCATTTTAAGATTTTTGCATGTACTCTTTCCCTCCTATTCCAATATAATTTTTGTGTGTAATTATTCATTTGTATATTCTCCATGTAGGTTGTCACCTTGACAAGTGTAGAAACTATGTCTACCTTGTTTATCACTGTATCCTTACTATCTAGCAGTGTGTTCAACACATAGTAGATATTTAGTAAATAACTGGGAGAATTATGGATATATGTGAAAAGTTTTATGTTTTTTTCCTTTAGGTTAAAGAAAGACCTGATGTGGGAGTTTATATCAAAGATTTATCAGCTTATGTGGTAAATAATGCTGATGACATGGATAGAATTATGACACTGGGCCACAAAAATCGTAAGTATAGTGCATAATTGTGATTAAACCTTTATGTCTGGAGTAGCCTGGTTTGGAAGCAAAGCTGGTGTGGCATTTTGCCTGTAAAGACTGGATATTTACATTTTTCAAAAATCCTTCCTCTTTGATTATATATTGTGTGAAAAGCATCTGTGAATGAAAGATATCATAGACTGTTTTTCATGCCGACCAAATTTTGTGTCTTAATAATAGTGCTATGTCTTTGAGACTCTCGTGTATCTGTCTCTTGGTAACATTTATTGAGCACTTCCTATGTGGTAAGTGCTTGTGCTAATGCTTTGTGAGAATGATCTCTTTTAATCTTGAAAGTGGACTAAGAAGATAATAAATTCCTGTATTGTGACTGAGGAAACTGAGACTTAAAGTAATTTGTCCAAGGTCATATACTATTTAGTAAATGACAGAGTTAGTATTTGAATCTACACCATTAGTCAGCATTAACCAGGCACTATAATGCCTCCCTTTTGTTGACCAAAAAAGCAAACAAAATTAAATGGCATTCTTTCAAGTAATCACTTCACATTTTTTCTAAATAAAGAGCTTCAGCAATATTGCTAATGCCCCAGGCCCAGTACTAATGAAGCTGCTGACAGCAATTAGAGACTAGAGGTAACAGGTAAGAACACAAGACATGATCATTTTTAAAAAGTTTTTTTGACTAGATTAAAAATCTAGCAAACTCAAGGAAATGAAACAAAAAATTGAAAAAATCAGTTGCATTCTTAAAAACCAAGTAATAGAAAAAGACCAAATTTTAATAGGAAATGAGCAAAAGATACATATGAATATGTTGTTTACAGAAGAACTGTACACAGCAATAAACATGAAAGGATGTTCAATTTCACAAATAATAAGGAAAACGCATATTAAAGCAACAGTGGGAAATATTTTACCCATCAGTTTAGATAAAGGGAGATCCAGGTTGGTGAGGCTCTAAACAAATGGGTACTGGTGATGGGAATATAAAGTGATACAGCTCTTTTGAAGGGTAGGATAGCAGCATCTGTTGACGTTTTTAAGAATGCATTCTTTTTGACTCACTGTCTCCATTTCTAGATATATAGTCTAGAAAAATATTCTTAGGTGTAAACCAAAAACAGAAAACCTTATTACAGTACTCTGTGTGACAGCAAAAAGTTTGACACACTATAAATATCAATAAAATACTGGTTATATAAATAGTGGTACAAAAATACTGTGAACTAGACTATAATGAGGCTGTAAGAAAAATAATGAGTTAAATGTACATGTAGAGGCCTGCAAGATTTTCAAGATACATTGTTAAGTGAAAAAGAAAGCTAATTAACATAGTGTCTCCTGCATCATCCCATTTATATATGTATAAAAAAGCTGAATTAGAATACTGTATGTTTATGTTAGAATACTATATGTATATGTCACTTTGTTTTTTGTATATTTGTATTTTGAATTTTTTACACCAGGAATATGTTCATATATTGCTTATGTTATTTAAAAAATTTTTAACATAGAATCCATTCACAGTAGTGACCAAAATCTTCCATTAGCTTTACCCAAGAATTAATTTAACTTGGTATGTGACATTTGTTGAAGGGAAATGAAAAAATTCCAAGAGAAATGAAAGGATAAGGAGATTTGAAGACCTAAGATAGCAGACAGAAAGATACTCTAAATTAATAAATAGATTGAATTCAAGAATTAAACAATTAGTACAAATAGTCAAGTAGAAAAGTTTGCACATAAAAATACAAAATTTATCACTTTGAAATATAGTAAAATAACTCTCTAGTGGAAATAGCAGAGGGTGGAAATGTGACAATAAAAGCTGCTATTCAAAATAGATGAAAAATTGATACAAATATTAAATTTCTATCTATTTTGTACAGGTGGTCATAGTATAGAGATAGTTTTGCACTGAAGAAAATAAGTCATTTATCTCATGAACAAATACACAGCCTGCCTAGCAACTAAAATGCAAACGTAAAATAGATACATTTATATTGTGGGCATCATTGTAAATAGATTTAATATTTCTGCAGGGGAGTGTTTTTCAGCCTTTAAATCATGATTCTTCTTTTTAAAAAATTGTCTTTTTGCATAGGTAATCCATACACATGGTATAAAATGGAAAGGCACAGAAGTATGTGTTGAAAAACAAGTCTCTCTCCTACCCTTGTGTCTTAATCACCTGGTTCCCATCCCTGGCGGCAACCTCTGTTAGTTTCTCAGGTGCCCTTCCTGGTATAGTCTATGTGTGCCCACGTTTGTGTGTTTTTAGGGAGAGTACCTGTTCTCTTTCTTTATGAGTCGGATAATAGTATTCTTTATTCACTTAACAATGTTATCTTGGAGATCATTTCACATTAACACATACTAGTACATATATAGTCATTTCTAAGTAACTATATAGTAGTTATTTCATTGGATGGATCCACCTAATTTATTTACCCAGTCTTTTATTGATTGACTTTGGGTTGCTTTCACTCTTGCTATTATGATCAGTACTGCAGTAAATATTCTTATATATACATGAGTTTATACACATGCAGGAATATTTATAGGGTAAATTTTTTCATACCTTCTTGAAAAACATAAAAATTTAATTTTTTATACAAAAGTAAATATTTTGACAAAAATTACAACCGTGCAAGTGCTTTGTCTTATTTCCATTATGTGCTATGTCAGTAGGTTGGAGCATTCAGTCTACTTGATTACTGCAAGCTGTTCTCTTTTAGGGATTATGAAGTTCAGTGTAGTCACTTTTGATAGTGTATGTGTTGCATTGCTTTATTTTCACAACCAGAATTGTAGAAAAATCACAATCCATAAATAGCATGCTTTACTTACAGTGCAAAAACAATAGGTATTAAAATATTTAATGACTTTTTCAAGTTACATGCTCTTTCCCACTCCAAATTGGAAAACACTGCTACAGTTTGATTTGATAACCACACAGCCATAAAACTATTCCTTTCCTTTGACCTGCTAGTTCCAGTTTGGAAAGTACATCCCATGCATATAACTCTATAAAGTGAAAGGTGTCTGCTCAAAGATACTCACATTAGTGTGCTTGATGAAGACCTAAAATAAGAAATAATCCCAAGTATCTCTTAGTAAGAGAATAACAAAATCAATTTTAGTGAAAATTCAAGTTATGTTTAAATGGAAATATATGTAGGAGATAAGTGGAAAAAACCAGAAGATAAAATAAGACCTACTACTCTGTGGAAATATGTATATGTGTCACTACTGATTAGATGATTTGAAGTGGTGTAAGATTTACTAGTTTTTTTAAAATATTTTTGGAAAAATTTATAAATTCATAACTTGATTTAAAAGAAAATAGAAAAATATAGTATGGAGTCACAAATCTTTGCATTTTCTTTCACTGATTTTTTCTTTTACCTTCTTTCATTGGGCTTTACTGTATCAGTGCAATTTATGTCCTAGTTATGACTTCTGTAGCCTTTTGCTAATGAAGAATATCCTTTTAATGTTTAAATTCTAAAATCACAGCTTGCATGGAGAAGTTCTACACGAATATATAGTAGAAAAATAGTTTTGACATTGGGTAAAATTAACATAATGCTTTTAAAATACTTTGGAATCTAAGGGAAAAAAAATACATGCCTGTTGTAACAACTGAAACAGACTTTTTTCCCCCCTTATTCATACGTTTTTCTTTGCACGATATATTCATGTAAAATATTTATGCATACATAAATTTGTAGTATATTTTGAATGGATGCTTTTCTTTTACAGAAATGGAATTACACTATATATTCCTGTCTTTTTTCTCTCATTCACATATTGTTGATATCTTTCCATGTCATTCAGATCTATCTTATTTTTTTTTACAGACTGTTTAGTAATCCATAGTGTGACTATTCTTTAGTTAATTAACTGCTGTCCTATTGGTTGTTTCTGATCTTGCTGTTGCAAACAATACTGCACTGACTAACCTTGTGTCATCTAATGTATATACATGTAAGCATTCCTGTGGTTTAGATTCCCAGAATGTAATACTTTGTAGAGGCATCTGAAATAGCAGTAATTTTTCAAATTATTTAACATGTGTTTTTATGTGAATTAGTTATTTGTTTAGGCCAGTAATACTTGGAATTGAAATTAAATGTTTTATCCTAAAAACTTGTTTAATGTGAAAAAATTACAGGTTTTTGATTATCAACTTAAATTGTCAGGGAAATTTCTAATAATGGCTAAATACATCTAAGCATTTATGTTTTAGCCATGCTCTTTGGTTTTTGGCTGGATATTATTTTTAAAGGCATTCCATATTAACATACTTTTAAATAATTTTTTTATTCTAGGTTCTGTTGGTGCAACTAATATGAACGAACACAGTTCCCGTTCCCATGCCATCTTTACAATTACTATAGAATGCAGTGAAAAAGGCGTTGATGGTAACATGCATGTGAGGATGGGAAAGCTCCATCTTGTAGATCTTGCTGTAAGTAACAGGATGCTACCTAAGGGATAACTCTTATGATTTCTTTCTTTTTTCTTTTCTTTTTTTTATAAGTGAATAGAAATTCAAGTGAAAAGAAGTGATTATATATAATTTTAAGTTTTACTTGTGTATATGTTTAACTTATTCTTAATTATGGAATATTTCAAACCTATACAAAAGTAGATAGAATAAATCTTATGATGATTTCCCATGTACCTATCACCCAGTTTCAACATTTATCAGTTCATGCCAGTCCTGTTTCATCTCTACTCTCAGCTACTTCTTTCCTTCCAGTATTATTTTGCAGTGAATTCCAGGTATAATATCAGATTTTTTTTTTACTGTTAAAATACTTTTTTTTGAACTTTGGTGTTTTTTGTTTTAGCTTTATTTTTGTCTCTGTTTATTGCTAGGGTTCAGAAAGACAAGCAAAAACTGGAGCTACTGGACAGCGCCTAAGAGAAGCTACAAAAATCAATCTTTCGCTTTCCACCCTTGGTAATGTAATTTCCGCCTTGGTTGATGGAAAAAGCACTCATGTGCCTTACCGTAACTCTAAATTGACTCGTCTTCTTCAGGATTCCTTAGGAGGAAATTCAAAAACCATGATGGTAAGACTTAACTGGTGGTTTAGCTATCATCAGGCAAATTTAAGTTTCCTGTTTATGCTAGTAATTGGTATTCATCACATTTTAAAAACTATTATGTTACTTTTTAAGATACATGGTTATTTTTTAATACATCATAATTTAGTAGCTCGTAATTGTATTGTTTGGAAACCTGTGTGGTGATGCCCTCTTTTTTAAGAAGGCCAGAGTGGAAATATGGTCCAGAATTCTTTTGGTTATATTACTGATACTGATATATTATTAATAATGATATATCCATAATTCATATATTCATATTATATATGTTCATAATGGTATTAATTTTAATGGTGTCAAGTGTAAAGTGTTTCATATTTCTAATTTAACAGTGTGCAAATATTGGGCCAGCAGATTACAATTATGATGAAACCATCAGTACTTTACGATATGCTAATCGTGCTAAGAATATTAAAAATAAAGCCAGAATTAATGAAGATCCAAAGGATGCTTTGCTTCGTCAATTTCAGAAAGAAATAGAAGAACTGAAAAAAAAGCTTGAAGAAGGTAACTTTTTCTCAAAATATTAGTCTTACCAGTAAGTTGCTTAACTGGTGTTCTAATAAAAACTGCCTGTTAAAAATTCTTTGGGCTTCTAACACTGATATTTAAAGGAATATTTCTGCAAGGTAACTTGATATGTACTTTAGCATTTTCATATTACACTCAAGTAAAATTATATAATATTGGCATATATGATTCTTAAAATTCATTTAATTTAAACCTCCCAGTCCCCATGATCTTTTGTGAAGATTTCATAGAACCACTTATTAAATAATGAAGTTTTATTTGTCTCTGTGTGAGAACAAGTTCTACCATGTATGTGTTCAGTGAAAATGACCAGAGTTCTTTGCAATAGTTCTTAAATAGTCACTTTTGTTTCATGTAAACAAAGGGAGTCATGGGTAAACCTACTTTACTGTAAATAAAAATTCATTGCTTGAAAATTCTTAAATTTGAACATGAGATTCTGTTTTGGAAATTCTTTTCTAACAAGATGGTATTAGAAAGTTAGAATATTTGAAGACCTTATTCATGAGGGTAAGAAATTTACCAGCCATCATTAGGTGCTCAGTGACTCCCTGAACCTTCCTGCTAAGAACTAACTGGTAGAGGGCTCCTTTGCAAACCAGGTGAATAGAGGGCTTTGAAATTGCTTCTCTTCAGTCTGGGGAAACTGGTTAGATCAGATGTGAAATCCAGAGATGACAACATCATAAACGTTTGGAGAAGATGCTGATTCAATAAACTTGAGTAAAATTGTTGAGGAAAAGCAATAATGAAGCTGCTTCTTAGGTAATGAAATTTGGTATTTTAAATGTGACCACTAGGTGGTATTTATAGTCAGTATGTTTTAAAGATTGAAAATTTCTTAATTTGTTAATGTTGAGTTCATACCTTTATTTTGCTGACTTAAAAATATTTTTTATTGTGGTAAAATATACATAACATGAAATTCTCCATTTTAAGTACTATTGTATACAGTTCTGTGGCATTAAGTATACATTCACATTGTTCTGCAGTAATCACCACCATCCATCTCCAAGACTTTTTAATTATCCCAAGATGAAACTCTATACCCATTAAACACCAACTCCCCATCCCTCTCTCTTCCTCACTCTCTGGTAACCCACTCTTCTACTTTTTATTTCTATGAATTTGATTATTCTAGGTACCCCATATAAGTAGAATTATATGTATCCTTTTGTGTCTGGCTTATTTTACTTATCGTACGTCCTTAGTGTTCCATATTGTAGCTATGTCAGAATTTCCTTCCTTTTTAAGGCTGTATAATATTCCATTGTGTGTATATACCATGTCTTTATTTATCCCTTCATTCATTGATGGACACTTGGGTTACTTCTACATTTTGACTATTGTGAATAATGCTGCTATGTATGTGGGTGTACAAATATCTGTTTGAGTCCTTGCTTTCAGTTCTTTTGGGTATATACCCAGAAGTGGAATTGCTGGATAATATAAAAATATAATAAATTTCATTTTATTTGTGTTCTTATGATATTTTGTTGTTATAATCCAGCTAACAGTTTTATAATCCAGTTAATAGAATTGATTAAGCAATTCAAAAATAGACAAAAATGTTAAAAGAATAATTTTTTAACTTTCTATGTTGAAATAATTTTAGACTTACAGAAAAAACAAGTACAGCAAGGAAAGTTCCTTTATACCCATATCACCCAGCTTCCCATAATGTTAACTTCTTACATAATCATGGTACAATTATTGACACCAGAAGTTTACAGTGATGTAAACTTATTAGCTAATCCACAGATCTTACTAGAATTTTGACAATTTTCTCTCTAATACTCCTTTTCTCTAGTCTAGAATCCAACTGAGGGTCACACGTTGCATTTAGTTGTCATGTCTTTTTAGTCTCCTCCAGCCCCCAGTTCCCCAGTCTTTCTTTGCCTTTTATGATTTTGACACTTTTGAAGCATACTGGTCATGTATTAGTAGAGTGTTCCTCAATTTGGATTTATCTATATTTCTCTCATAATTATTCTGCAAGTTTTCTCTACTATAAATCTATTTTATTATTTTCTTTGAAATTAATGTGTATGTCATGGGGAGATACTTTGAGATTTTACAAAGGTCCTGTTTCTCATCATACTTTCTTCAACTAATTTTAGCATCTACCAAGGTTTCTTGCCTACAACAATAGTTCTGTGGCATTTACTCAGTGGTGACTTTCTCTTCCCATCATTCCTACTCATGTTTAGTGTTTAGAATTCTATTGTAAAGGAGAGCAGTCTCTTCTCCCCTACTTATTTATTTACCCAAATATTTATTTATATCAGTATGGACTCATGGATATTTATTTTAGTCAGTGGCTTATAATACAGTAATTTCATTACTTACTTTATTGTTGAAATTGTTCCAGCTTTGACCATTTAGGAGCTTCAATATCCTTTCAGCATACTCCTATCTGTTTTTTGAGCACTTCCTTATTTCCTGGCACCATAGCTGTTTTGGGCTCAGTTTGTGTTTTCTCTACCTACCATCTATTTCGCCCTAGTTCCTTTCAGTGGAGAATGGTATTTAGAAACTAAAATTTGGTTATTAGGTATGCTCATTGCTCCCAGGATGTCATTGTTTCTAGGCCTAAATAACAAGTATTTTTAAGTTTTTTAATCTTAAAAACGTTTTTTAATCTTAAAAACATTTTTTAATCAAAATATTTTTAATGAATTTCTTCTCCCAAGACTGTGGTTTCTTTCCATCTTTTATTTACAGGTTCAAATATTATCTTATGATAAATGTATATTTACTCCCCCCCCCCAGTTATCTTTATTTTCTTAGAAATTTCACATGGGGACAGCGGTAATTTTAAATAAGTACTTTGAAGGTAATACACTGATTTACATTAATAGTTTAATTATTCCCTATTTAATTTTTTTAATTAACATAGTCATTGTACAAATAAGCCCTTCTTATTTTTAATTATTTTTTGTGATGTAGTCCTAAAAGTGGGATCACTGTTTTAGATGACAGTTTCATAGCTCTTAAAACATAAACAGGTTGGATGAGTTATTTAGAATCTTAAAACAGAAAACTGAGAAGAAAATGATCCTCAAAAGTGGTCAATAGTTTTTAAAGATTGAAATAATAACTCTAACATGTAACATTTAGAACTGCATTTAAACTAATCACTTGAAATTTTAAATGGGTCAGAATTTTAACGTCTCTTTAGGAACTTAAAAAAAATAAAGCCTCTGTGTACATCGTATCTGCTTCTGAGGTTAGCATATCTGATACACTGTCTAGGAATATTAAAATAAGGTTTGTTTAGGGCACAAAAACTTAATGAAGAAAGTTGATACAGGTACTTCTTAAATAGCCAATGACCTGGTACAGAATAAAAATCATTGTATTAACTCTGTTCAAGGGGAAGAAATATCAGGCTCTGATATCAGTGGGTCAGAGGAGGAAGATGATGAAGAGGGTGAGATTGGAGAAGATGGAGAGAAAAGGAAAAAAGAAGGGGTAAGTTCTTTTTAGTGTTCTAGAAATTAACTGAAATTGCTGCCTCACGATAGTTTAACATTCCTAGGGCATTTGAGTGCATGCCTTTTTTTTAGCCATTTTTAATTGTGGTAGCACTTTGAACAGAGGAAGTCTGCCATATACCTGGTTAACTTCGCATATTTTTTCCCTCCTATACTGATCTCCTTTTTCAGGATGAATCACCATTACCATGTGTTTTTTTTTAAGAATTTATAGTTATAAAAATCTGTGATAGTATAAAATTTCATGTAGGGTTTTAATTTTATCTGAGGGCTTTTATCTATGCTAGGGACCTAACTTTAGGAAATTAGGATGATGTGGAGCTTTTATGAAGCATGATTACACTTTAGAAGTCATTGGATTTTTTAGTAATAAATTTGTAGGAGGATTCTATTTTTTAATAGAATGTAAAATGTATTCTTTTTATAAAATGTACTCCCATTCTCACCCTATAACAGGACATTTGTTGGCAGTAAGACTGTTTATTGTGGTAAAGATATAGATGGCATGCAAAAGAGAGAGAGAGATATTATAATGGCCTACATTACAAACCTTTTTACCCTAAATATTTATTTCAGAACTCTCTTCCATTAATGTGGATCATTGTTTTCAAGCTGGTGCATATTTTGCTTGTCTTACTAAAATGTTGTTGCTGAAAATAAACCCATCACTGCTTGATCAGGAGTCCCAAATTTAAAAGTCATAATAAAGATTCTGTAACTTCAAGAGACAGAAAAAACATGATTCAGAGCAAGAGCTGGCAAGTCTCCTGGCCAAATCCAGCCTAACTACTTGTTTTTATAGATAAATTTTTATTTAAAAAACCATGCTCATTTGTTTAAATTGTGGTCTACGACTGCCTTCACATGAGTCTGTATGGTCTGCAAAACCTAAAGCACTTATCATCTGTCCCTTTACAGAAATTGTTTGCTGCCCTGATTTTGAGAAATGGTTCTGTGTTCATACCTATTTTTTCACAAAGTAAACTATTCAAAGCTAAAGGAGATAGTAGATTTGTTAAAAATTAAATTTTAGTAGAAAAAAATGCCGCTGCTTAATATGTTAAAATATCTAATAGTAAAATATCTTCCTTCCAGGCTTAGAAATTTTAAAATTTTCAGTGAGCCTTTCTAAGTTTTGCTGTGAAACCTTAAACATAGATAATTATATATGATAGTTTGCTGTTTTGGAGGGGAAGGAGTGAAACTGGAGACAAAGCTGTCTGTATTAAAGAGTAATCTATCATTGCTGTAATTTTAATTGTTCGTGACTTTAAAATGTAAAACTCAGTTCCTTTAACTTATCAACCTTAATAGTTTAAATAGACTTAAGTGTCACCAAATGACCAATTTTTTATTCTTGTCATTCCAACCCTCTGGATTACTATAGTTTAAATGAATAGTATAGTTTGCCCACAGTGGATGCTTAAAGGAATACATTTTATCATTCCCCTGTTTGGCTTTGTAATTAGAGAATACTGTATAGACTACCAAGACTGGTTTTAAGGAAAATAAGTTTTGGTTCTTTAATACAAAGCTTGATTGTCCTTTAAAATTCTTTCTCTGGAACTGAATTTTTCTCTGTGTATGTGTTCATTTTCTTGTTTCCTCTTTCTTTGGTTCCCTTTGGGCTCATTTCTTTGTCTTCCAGGCAGTAGCAGCAGCAGTAGTTCAGACTCCACATGTTCTGTCATAGAGAAACCTCTGGATAAGTTCTTGCCTAGTGAGTGGTAGCTCTTAAATTCTCTAACAGAGCTTTGGCTTTTCCATAACCCATGGACTTCATTTGGAAAATGCTGCGCTGTTCCCTGTCATTGCTTCAAGAGTATATGTTGGACTCCTCAGTAAAACAAAGCATGTGATGATTTTTCCTCTCCTCTTCATTGCTTCCAGTTAACCATAATTGTTAAAACATATGCTTAAGTTTATGTTTGAGACAATGGAAGAGAGATTCATGCTTTTGCAGTTGAGATAATGTAAATAGAGCTAGTAAGCTGTACAAAAGAATAATTCTTGTGGTTCCTTTTTAAGTTTCATGATACATTTCTCATTCTAGTCAGTGTAAGGGACATGTAAGAACAAATTTTGAATTTCTAAAGGTACAAATTATATTTGGAAGTACCTCAGTACTGATTATAACATTCATTATAGCTACAAAGATTTCTACGCTTTGGTGTCCTATTCTTAGGGGCAGTTTAAGATTGAAAATTCCCAAATAAAGAAAAGCATAAAGTTTGAGCAAGTAAAGATAAATTGAATAGTTTTTTTATTTCAAATGGCCATTTATCCCTTTTTCTAAATTACCTGATTGATCTTAAGAAACTTTCGAAGATACGATGAGAGAATTCAGATCCACAAGAAATTGTTTATGCAGAATCTGTCTAGACTTACTTCAAACCTAAAGGCTTTTTCTTAAGCCGTAATTTAATAAATTAAGTTCAAAGGCCCTATTAGTTTTATTTATATTTTGTTTTCAGAAGGAAAGAGAATTGATGCTTTTTTGTACTAGCTTGCAGCTTACTGTCTTTTAAAGCATTATCTATATATGTACCTTTCCAAAACTAATAACAAACCATTTGGTTATTGTTCTTATACTTTTAGCTTTCTAGAGGAAGAGTTCCAAGAATATTAGGAATTATTTTCTCTATGTAGTCCATTCTTATATTTTACCAAGATAATTAATTTCAGAGAAGAACTTATAAAATACATGAAATTGCTTTAGAAACTATATAGAAGTCTTATTTTTTCTTATAAACTGCAAATATGAGAAAATACCTTAGTGGGATGTATTACAATGTAATTTTCTGTTTTAAAATTGACCTTTATCTTTAAAAAGTAGTTACATGAAAGTATGTTATGAAATGAGTTGTACTTTATTCAGTTCAAGCAGTTTTTTTAGTTATTATTTGTATACCTAGCACATAACATGAAGTTCTTTTGTTGCGATGTGGGTGTGTTGCTGAGTGGAGAGATGGTTGTCCCGGCATGTGATGGCTGTATGTAACCTGTATGCTCCTTCCCTTTTAAAATTATGTATGGCCTTTTTTTAGGTGTTCTTTGCTTGGATCATTTACTTCTATAGAATCATTATTGTAATTGCCTTTAAGAATCTACTAATAGATTGAATGCAAATTTATTGTTATACAGGTGTACTTCCCTTTATGCAGTAAATGTGTTTTTTTCCTGAAAAAATTGCTTATAAATCAACTTGGAAAATCAAATATATTGGGAGAATTTCCTGTCTTTAAAACTTCTTTATTAAATACTTTTGTTAATCACATAATCACTACAAATTACTATAGTTTTTCTGTTTAGTTGGTTGACATTTTTGTGTTGGATTTTCTTAAAGAGGGGCACACCTGTAATATAGCCTTATATTAGAAGGTCATCGAATTGGGAAATTTTGAAAATGGACAATGTGAATTTTGCTACTTTTAACTTACTAATTTTTAAAATTGTCTTAATTTTCTGTTTTGTTCTTTTAGATTATTTCCCAGGTATTAGCAGGTTCCCAATTCCATGTCCACTATTAGTTGTTGAAGTGTTATATTTGCAGGAGTTTGGGAGTCAGTGTGAGCTTTTAAGATTGATTTGGATTGTAATCTTAGATTAATTTTCTTATTCTTGCTGAAATTATGTCTCTGATTATGTTGAAATACTTTTCTTTTTACATAAGACTGTTCTATTTCAGTTTTTATAATGATTTGTTTCTGTACTTATACTATAAATGAATGCAATTATAGATTTTTCTTTGTTTTACAAAAGAAATAATGTTTTTCTTTTTTCCTCCTCATCTCTGTGCATATGCTTCCTGTCTACGATTTGCTTACTACTTCTTATTGAAAGATCAAGCAGGTTGGTGTGATTGATTTGCACTCCACGTGGTACAATTATTTAAACTATAAAGAAATTTGTTGTTTAATTACATTATGTATTTTAAATTTAATGATTTTTTTAAGGTAAGTATCTTCTTTTGTATTTTAAAGTATTTTTCAACTTTAGCTTTAAGAAAAACTTCCTTTTTTACTAAATTCTTTAGAAAAATTTTTTTTCAGTTTTTATTGAGGAAGGTATTAGGAACATTTTTGTTTCCAAATAAATTTTTTAAGGAAACATTCAGAAGTATTAGATTGGCAATGACAAACACATGAGGTATTCTAGACCTAATTAACAAAATAGACAACAAAAATAAATATATCATCAGAACCAGATTTTTTAAAAAGAATTTTTCTAAATGTTGGAAATAAAAATGATTTAATATTCAAGGATTTTTCCTCCTTTTTTTTTTTAAATTGGGAATCAAATGCCTGTTTACCTATGCTCATGTGATGAAAATGAAATAACACTTCTTTTAACTTTACCTTGCCGAAGTTTACCTTCACAGTTTTGATTAGAGCACATAGCAGAGGGCAATTTAAAATATTACTGCTCCTGTTAGGCTCAACTAAATACTCTGTGATGTTGATATTCTTTTTAGATTTATTTACCTGAAATTTTGTGCTGAATTCTTACAGTTTTAGAAGGAGAAGTGTTCTTTTGTTTGTTTGTTTTTGGTTTTGGTTGGTTGGTTTGGTTGATTAATATTTTTTAAAAATCTTTAAAAAACAATGTAGAAATGACTTTTGTGATGTCATGTTTTTAAGTGCCTGGTTAGGAGAGTTGGTACATTTCACATTTAGCTTAAAATATTATTTGGAAAGAAATACAATTTATCAGCTGATTCTGGCTAAAATAATATATAAGTAATATAAATTACTTAAATATTGGATTTTTGAAATTGAACCTAACTATATATACATGGCCATCTTTATGAAAATGCTTTAAGAGCCCAATAAGATTTTTAGTGCTAAAACATTGGTTTGAAAATACTACCTGAAAGGTTTTGAATAACTAATGCAATTCAGGCATAGTAGTAATTCATCAATAGGTCTGTGCTTTTATATTTCTGCACATAAAATTTTTTAAATTTACTGCCTCTTGATGGGTTTGGGAACTATATGTTTTTAACTAACAAAACAATTGCAACCCTAGAAGCCTAAAAAATTAATCTACATGTGTTGATCAAATCACTTCCTCTGTACATATGTAGTTTTCATATATATGTTTTTTCATCTTATCATATTTGCCATTTTTTCTTTAAATATTTATAATTCTGAGGTGGAAAGGAAGTTATAATTTTTTAATGCATAAACTTACTTTATACTTGAACTTTTATTTTCCCCTCCTCAAATTTCTAAGAAATAGTATTACTGATGGGAGAGTCTTTCTAGGAATTCATTGGAAATATGAGTTAGATTACTTTATCAAATTATTTTTTAGTAACATAATTCAGTATGTTCAATGCAGATGACTGTGCCAAAGAAGCCAAGAGAATCAGGTCTACATCCTGATTTTGGGAATGCAATGAATCACACCACACCAAAGCATGAATTTGGATCAGTGCTTTTGTTTACTCTTTCATTTAACTTTGTTTTGTGTCTTTAGTTTGCTTTGGACTTACATTTCTGTAGAAGTGAAGGGTAATAATGTATTTGAAACCGCTGGGTTTTTTATATAATTTTAACCCAAAGAAAGCCTGTGAATGATTCATGGTCTCGTGGTTCCTGAAAGAGTATATTCAGATATATGTCTCCATCATCTTTATTTCTCAGTTTTCTTTCTTTGTTAGCATGAGGGGTTAGCTTTTGGGTGGAGATCTCATTAACAGTTTGTAAACTCTCCTGCTTTACGCTCTTCTGTGGTCCTTTGGGAAGGAAGTTAAGAATGACAGAAAGCTTTCAGGAGAGCCTCAGACCAATTCTACGAAAACTTTGATTGTTTCTTTGAAGGAAAGTATGTTTCAAAGAAATTGTATTACCAGAAATGAATTCTCTTTGATTCAGTCTCATAACCAGTTTAATAAGCTAACTTTTGTTTTCTTTTTTTGATTTTTCATTTTAATTTCATGATTTTGAAATTCATTTGGTAGACTTATATTGACCATCCATTATATGTATATAAAATACTTGAATAGGCATTGTAATCAAAATAATCAATTTGAAGTTGTATTTCTAGCTTAATTATTTGGTAGGATTTCTACTTATGTTTGATACTTGGAATGTGTAGTCTGACTTAGGGAGATTTAGGGAACTGAGTTTGACATAATAGCAAGCTATTTTAATTGACCATTTAAGATATGATGATATGTCATAATGGCTCAGCAACTGTAAAATGCCTGGTTAATTACTATGTAGCTGTTATATAATTAGTATAGAACTACTTCCTTTGAAAATATACTATGAAATAAAACTTTCAAGTAATTTTATCAAGCAAAATTTTAGAAAACCTCTGATGATATATGTTAAAAACTACTTGCTATAAATTCTGCCTGATACTTTTACTTGTACATTTTATACCTATTTGTGACTTTTATTTATTCATTTATTTTAATTAATTTTGGGGGTAGGTGTTTTGAGAAGATACTCAATTTTGTACCTGGTTATCAGAAAGAAGTAACTAATCATATTGCTTTTTTGTCCATACATGATATCTGGGGACACAGTTCTTTCCTTGTTTTATTTACTTGGTTTTCCTGTTAATCTTTCCTTCTCTTTTTTTTTCTTCCTTTTCTGTTTTGATTCTCTTCCACTTACCTTGTTCTTAGTTATCATTGCACAATTGGACAATAGTTTGAATTTAGTGATTAGTTAAAGAGTTCTCCTAGGACCATAATAAATAGAAATAAAATATATTATTTAGTTGATTTTCTTAGCATTTGATTGTATATTATGAAGGAATGTATTTTTATATTGAAGATACTTTATATATCTGAAATGTTGACTCTGAAGTGATTGTTGCAATTAAATGACTCAAATAGGTAAAAAGAAAGTTTCCCCAGATAAGATGGTTGAAATGCAAGCAAAAATTGATGAGGAGAGAAAAGCACTTGAAACAAAGCTTGACATGGAAGAAGAAGAAAGAAACAAGGCTAGAGCTGAGTTAGAGAAACGGGAAAAAGATCTTCTTAAGGCCCAGTGAGTATTACTGAATTGAGTTGGATTCATGATTTAAAAAAATTTTTTATAGGATGTATAAGGAATAAAATTGAATAGTAAAAGCTTGATTTTTGTTTCCACAGGCACTATTTTTGGACAGAAGGTTTTGTTTATGTTATATTTTTAAAAATTGCATCTATTTTTCTTTCATCTTTATATAGGAGAAAAAAATCTGCAAATTTGGATGTTATAGGTTAAATCATAAATTAATACTACACTGTTGTGTAATTTGATAGAGATATTATATAATTATAGTCCTATTTTGAAATTTTACATCCAAATTTCTGTTAAAGATCATCGATGGATATAGACTATTCTCATTTTAATTAACAGACAAGAGCATCAGTCTTTGCTAGAGAAATTATCTGCACTGGAGAAGAAGGTAATTGTTGGTGGTGTTGATTTATTGGCGAAAGCTGAGGAACAAGAGAAACTTCTTGAAGAATCAAATATGGAACTGGAAGAAAGGAGGAAAAGAGCAGAGCAACTTCGCAGAGAACTTGAGGAAAAAGAGGTGCTGTGAATTTTTGTTTTTGATCGACACTTCACGTAAGATATTTAACGTTTCTAGTGAAAAGCTGAATATAATCTTGATAAAATTTTAAAGAATATCTATGGGTTGCTTTGAAAGATAATAGTTGCTAAACATTTATATCATGTTAAGTAATTAAATTTGTGATTTAATGAAGAAAATTATTCTAAAGTTTATCACTTTTTGTCATAGCAAGAACGCTTGGATATTGAAGAAAAGTATACCAGTTTGCAAGAAGAAGCACAAGGAAAGACCAAGAAATTAAAGAAAGTTTGGACTATGCTGATGGCTGCGAAGTCAGAGGTTGGTCTCTTAGAAATTGCCTCCTATTGTAGTTCTGAAGTTTTAAAAAAGTTTTAAATTTCTTTGATTAAGTATGATTAAGAAAAGGAATCATAGTGTGTGATCACAATTTTAAAGAAATAAAACTTTTGCCTTTGTATGTAACTTTAAATTTCAGGTATTAAACTACTTATTTCCAACCTTTACTAATTGGAATAGACAGTGATAGGTAGTGTTATTCTGTCTACTGTTTTTGTGAAAAGAACTGGGTAAGCTCTTGCAAGATTTCCTAGACCAATGCCCTATGTCACATGGAATTGTTTTGTATTTAAAATCTTGTTTGTATTTCATATTTTTATTGATTTTCTGGTAGATGGCTGATCTCCAACAAGAACATCAGAGGGAAATTGAAGGCCTCCTGGAGAACATTCGACAACTTAGCCGGGAGCTTCGACTTCAGATGCTTATTATTGATAACTTTATACCTCAGGATTATCAGGTAAGAGGGAAGTCCTCTGATTTAAATATTAGGTCACTTGGCTGGGGTTAAGGAATAGGGAAGTATCATTTCTAATTTAATTGGTGGTAAATATTTACATTTCATGTTTCAGTGATAAAATTTTCTTGAACTAATGCCATCACATTTCACTTCAGCTGTTAACTTTCTTAATACATAATTCTCTGTTTGAGTATCTGAATATCTGAATAAGAATTTCTCAGCCCTTTGGGGAAAGCCAGATTCATGTAATTCATGTAAAGGTATAGGTCCTGCTTTTTCATTCAGTATTCTTTATTCTGTAAATAGAATAAACAGAACTCCTGTGCTAACTTTTTCTCCGTTTATGGACACTAACTCTGTATACGTGTATGTCAGGGGGGTTGTGTGGTAAAATACATAACATGAAATTTATCATTTTAACTATTTTTTAAAACACAGTTCAGTGACATTAAGGTTATTCACAGTATTATGCAATCATGACTACCATCCTTCTCCGGATAAATGTTCTTAATTCTAGCATAATTTAAAAATCTCAGCCTCTGTTTCTCTTCACTCAAAATTTCTGTCTTTTTAGTACATTTTAGTAAACTTTAACATTGTTTTTTAAAAAATTATTTTGAATCTATATACAGCTTTAAGAAATTTTTCTGAATTTTAGTATTTTTGCCTTAATATTTTTTCCTTTGGACCTCAGGTGCATAGAATTAATCTTTGGTTCACAGTATACCCTCCTTGATGGTCCTTGGATGGCCTGCTCTTATTTAGTTAGTTTTTTTGAACTCATCACTGAAAACAAAAGCTAGGACCATGACATTGACCTATATACAACCAAATGGTTTCCCTTTCCCCTCTTCCATCCCTTTGCCTCTTCCAGCTCAAGGTAACCACCATCCTGAATCCCATGTTCCTTTATTTCCTTGATTTTTTTTTTTAACAATTCAGTTGTGTCTACATATATTTCTTGAAAGTATATATTTTAAAATTTATAAAAAGGATATCATGTAGTATATAGTTTTTTCTCTTGGAAAGCCAGTACGGTCTTTGAAATTAGCAGATTAGAAGTACTGTTCAAAATTGTATCTACAAAATTACAGAATATATGCAGTGATGGTCACTCTGTGGTTTCATGGCTTATTCAAGTTCACACAGATTTGTTATTTGATCACAGATCATTTGTTCAATTGGCACAAATCTCTCAGACAACAGTAAGACTGAAGAAGACTGAATCCTGAAAGACCCACACACATTCAGAGATTTTCACAGGAAATTTACCTTTAAACCTGTTATTGAAGTATGCAATTTTGGAAACAATTATTGATCCTTTGTTGATGTTCAGGATCCAAGAAATAACCATATTACCACTTACACTTGTTCAAAACATTATTCTTATTCACAATGTAAAAAAGACAAGGTCATTTTCATATGTATCATTTGGCTTTGGTGTTCTGTCATGCAATATATAATGTTTTGAGACTTAACTTTTTTCACTTAATATATTAAGATATTAGTTGCAGGAATATTTTTCAGTATCTTAAATGTTATTAAATATTAAAAGTAGATCATCTTTGACTCTTTTAAAAGGAAATGATTGAAAACTATGTCCACTGGAATGAAGATATCGGAGAATGGCAGCTAGTGAGTATTACCTTCATCCTTTCATGAAATGGTTACAGTATACGTTCTGTAAACTGGGATTGTGCTGGCTACCATGGGGAGAAAGGTGGTTCAGAGGATGAATCAAATGAGACTCTGGTAGGGTGTATAAGATACTTTTCTAATTAACTGTATTATAACACATAAAATATTCAGTAGAAATGGTATAGGTCAGTGTAAGGACTGAATGACCTCTGAGTCCCTTTCTGTTCTAGCATTTCAGTCATGGTTTTTGAATGTACTGTCATTGTAAGTCATAGTAATTTGTGTCATTCACAGTATTAATTGCTAATTAAGATAATTCTTCTCCCCCTCTTTTTTCCTTTTTTGAGAAATGTGTTGCCTACACAGGAAATAACATGAGAAAGCAGACTCCAGTTCCTGATAAAAAGGAGAAAGATGTAAGAGTGCTTTTAAATTAAAAAAAACAAAAAACTACAGTTTCTTTATAGAAATGCGGGTCACTAAATTGTTACTAACATGATACCTATTAATCAGCTCTGCTGAAAAAAGGCTAATCTTTTGGGAATAGAGGCTCTAGGATGGGGTGACTGTTAGGGCAATTCTGCTCACCTTCAGTCATGATGCCAGGCTTATCATTTCTACCACAAGTCATCTTTGGAGACTTTTCCCACCACCTCTCTGTGTCTTGGGAATATGGTTAGAGACTAGATAAAATATCTGTCCTTTTCAAAGCTGGTCCTAGTCTTAGGTCAGCAAGAGGAAGTAGCAGCTTTAGGGAAAACAACGACATTTTTCTTCACTATGAAGGAATTTATAGTGTGTCAGGGCTTATTCACCAATGCTTGGTGAATACATTTGAGATCCATGGCATTAGAAAAAAGGTATCTTTAGATATTTATTTGGTTTTGTCTTTTGTGAATTTTTTCTAGGAGTTTATTTAGCATTTTAAATCTCCCCGAAAATCTGGTTTATATCCTTCTGTAAGAGTGTCTTGGGTTTGTTTCCCTTACATAGCCCTTTGAAGTGGACCTTTCCCACGTGTATCTTGCCTATACTGAGGAGAGCCTCCGGCAGTCCTTGATGAAATTAGAGAGGCCACGGACTTCAAAGGGGAAAGCAAGGCCAAAGACAGGGAGAAGGTAAGTACTATTTTTGAGTGAAATAAAGACAATGAGATTTCTAAGTAGATACATTTAAAGGAAATTTACTTAACATGGCAAGTATTTTGGCTTGATATATTTAACTAAATATTGAAGTCCTTGTGTAGTTATGGCTTGAGTAAATAAAATCTGGCTAAAGAATTAGTCTTCCAGCTTCTTTAGCCCTCCTGAGTAGTAGAATTTATTTTTAATTTACTTTGTTCTTTCCACATGTATAGTCATTACTATCTTAATCGCTTAATCCCTACGCTAATTCTTCTAGGAAGACGCTAATTTGCCTGTTTAGGCTCTCAGGGTATTATAGTCGGCTTATTGGTTTTTCTATTGTAAATATTGCCTCAAGAACCTTGGTATCCTTAGTGACTAGTTAAATAAAACTTCTCTAACCATCTTTCCCTCACCTTAGGGGGCTTGTTTTGACTACTGAGTTTTGTATGTATTGTAACTTTGTAACTTAGTCCAGGGAAATCAGGATGTGAGAGCCCTGGGCTAGGGCTTTTTTCTTCTCTTCTTTCCTATGTCACGTACTGTTCCACTTATTTAAACTGACTGTAAGACTTTGGGGCTTCTCAAATGATAGGAAATAATAAGCTCCCCCTCCCTCGCCTACTTTGAGTACATAGGCTTTTAAGTGACACATAGGGTGAAGTTTTAAATTTTAATATTTTTGTGTTACATAATCTCATAGACATAACCTAACATTTATAAACTTGAGGAGGAGGAATCAGTAGCATATTAAAAGTGTATGAATTTTTACATTCTTCAGTATTTAGGTGCCAAGGGGTTAAAAGCTTTTCATATTGCCAACAGAAGCCATACATGTGATATTAATGAATAAAGCAAATCAGTTCAGAGAAATACAAGCCCCTCTAGCTCTTTCAGCTTTCCACTCGTGATAGAGGTGTTTTCCTCTTACCTCTGCTGTTAGAAAGAAATGTAACAATGCACGTGTGAGGATAAATGGTAAGACAGTTGGCCTCAATGTAGGAGAAAAATAAGCAGTGGTGTGGACTGGGGCAAAATGGAGAGCTTCTTACCTGAAGTGAGTGGCTGCCACCCTGTTTTTAATTAGTTTTGGGAATAGAGGGCCCATTATTTCTGAATCTTCTTGTTTCAAAGGAGAAGCCAGAACTCCAGATTATTTATGTCAGATCTCTGTTTTTAGTCACTTTGTAAAAACTCTGTGTACCTAAAACAAACAAGTAAATAATTTAGTAAGATATTTGGTTACAGTTTTTAGAATGCTTATTTTGAAATATGTACTTTTTTGGTTTAATCTAAAAGAAAAAAAGTGCACTAACATTAGATGAACCAAACCCAGCATTTCTGTAGCCAGAATGAGCTGCTGTGTTATGAAAACAGTAGATGGCCATAAATGCAGACAAATATACACAATAAATGATTTATTGATATTGCATTACATTATTTGATAATGTTCAATGTGATATTCCTCATTAGAAATGCATAGTTATGTGCTGAGCAAAATTGCAATAAACACGATACATTAGTGGAGCATTTCCATCAGTTCCTACATAGTCATCTGTGAGGTGTTGCTTCAGGTGATTCGTGTGCTGATTTTCACTGAATAAGCACTCACCTTTAGCATACCAGAAGAGACAGTCAAGAGGTTGAAATCTGGCAAGCATGCAGACCACTTGCAGTTGTCATTCCGTCGTCACTCTCGGTGGAGTGTGGTGCTGTGCTCTTGCGGTTACTCTGGGCGACCTTCCCTTAGCCTGAAAGGGCAGACATTAATTCCTCTCTTAACATGGTTGAGAATGTCAAACCTTGGCCTGTTTCTAGACTCTGTGGCTGCCTCATACTATCTACTACATAATGTAAAGTGTTACATTTCAGTCTTTCAGGAAAGCACTCATGTTTTCTTTTTCTCTTCTCCAAACAGAAAGCGTTCTGCAAAGCCTGAAACTGTAATTGACTCTTTACTTCAGTAACTGTTACAGACTTAAAGTCACAATAAAAATTAGTGATATTCTCATGCCTGGGCAAAATCTTTAATAAAAACACTGAAGATTTTTGTGTAATTTCAAATAATGGAAGCTGTAGATCATGGACTAAGACTGGAACTAACAATTTGCCTAATAACTTTTAGTCTATATTTATTAAGTTAATGTAACATTAAAATTGTAAACTGGTAATTGTTCAAACTGACATATTACTTTTCAGTTTATACTGTGCAGGGAAGTTAAGGGAGCAGCTTATACTATAGAGAGTTGCAGTTTAAGTGTATACATAAATCTGCTAGTGATTTATTCATCTACTGTATATTTAGATAACTGGATATTCAAAATAGAAAAAAATGTCCTGTTTTTCACACAGACAGTTGCAGGCCTAATTGTCCTATGTCTTGCTGTTATATATGAATGTATGGGCTACATATCTAAGAAATTATTTACTGCTGACACCCACCTGGTCTGTTTAAATGTGTTCTAATTTTTATACTAACATTCATTGCATTTGAAGTATGAGATGACTGATCTGTAGAAAATTTTATAATTAGACAGTCTTTAGAAGTGTACGTGCTTAAAAAACAGAAGTTGAGAATGTTTCATCTGAACTTCTCGAGTTCTTTTGCCACTTTGACTTCAAGTCAATTTTTTGTTTTGGTTTCATGTTCTCTTGAAACATTGAATTTGTACCTAACTATAAAGTAGTCAACAACTGCAGATAATAAGAAGCTAAATACTGGTCACTAATATTTGCCTGTATGTGTATATTTTTTAAACTTTACTTTGCAGTGTGACTAGTGGATGTTTTCCTTTGTCTGAGTTCTAAATTTTGATGGAAGTAGCTTTGTTTCTCCTAGTTGAGAAAGATCTCCATTTTCCAGAAAATACAGCCAAAGCAAGAAATATATCTTTTAATTCTTTACCTTTAAAGTACTTTGTTTTTCTTCATATTTTACCAAGAAAATACTCTTCCCTGAATATCTTTCATTGACAAATCCAGTTAGGCCATATCTCTAAAATAAGTTATTTTTATTTTACAGTAAAATAAGTTGTAATAGAATTGTTTGTTCTTTTGTTGGCTGCTTACAAAAGTTATGCTACTCCAAAAAGAAGCATATACATCTTTTAAGTGTTTTAAAATTATGTAATCAGCCCTGAAACACATTGACTACAAGTTTTGAGACTTCATAAATGAGTATTTATTAAGTTAAC